TGATATAAATCCTGCAATACCCATAACAAGGGAGATATCAGAATGCAAGATGTATATCATCATTTGGGGGGGGGGTCCATATTATGAATATAGTATACCATACCCCAAAACCCGGTTCGGCGTATACAGTTTAGGGATCTCTGGTACAGTGCTGACATGAAGCTACACTCAAACCTTGCTCTAAACCCTCGTAATAAGCCCCAAACTAGGAGGGAATCTCATACAGTAACCCTCGTAGAGCCTTAGGGTTTACGATTTAGGGTTTGGGGTTTGGTACAACCATCCAGTAGCCCTCATCGCACTTTCATAGTAATTCCTCTGCAATTACAAACCCTTACAGTATTTAGCCCTGATTGTGCAATATATATATATATATATGAGTGACCTTAAACCTTAACCCTCGCATAGAACACTTCTAGTGCCATGATAGAAACCCTGGCAATATCTGGCCTTTAGTTATGTTATATACTATAGCGACCCTAAAACCTAGGCCCCTGATGGAACCAATCGAGCAGTTAGGCCGTACAGCGCCCCAAACCCTAAACCCCAAACACTAAAACCTAAACACCCAAACCCAAAATCCTAAACCCCCAAAACCCCGAAACTCCAATCCCTGGGCCTGAAGCCCTCAACCCCTAAAACCTAAACCCCCAAAACTCAAACCCTAAACCCCAAAGGTAAAACCTCTACAGCATAAGTTCTACGGTTGATGGTATAAATCCTGCAGAACCCATCATCAGGAATATGCTTTAATTCCCATCGTTTAGGGTCCTTAAGGTCCTAAGTTCTAGTGTAATGCAGGGCCTTAATAGTTGGAACAGGGTTCTGGGGTATATCATTATACTATAACTATAATAAGAAACCCCAAAACAGTATAGGCAATCATTGAGGCCCCTCGCGCCCTCAACGCCTAAACCCTAAACCCCTAAACCCCTAAACCCTAAGCCCTAAACCCTCCTGTTTAAGGCAAGGGCCTGAACCTAAACCCTAAAGGTAAAACCTCTACAGCCTAAGTTCCAGTAATAGATGGGGGTTTCCAAAAATAGGGGACCCTAATATAGTACCCTAAATAGTAGGATCCTTATTATAAGGGCCCTAAACCCTAAACC